GCTTACCATCAGGGTCATGCTTCACATGAAAACCAAGATAGTTCCAAACGCCAGATCTGAATGAGGGTGGGGGAGGTTCAATTTCGAGCTTAGCTTCTGTCTTGCTAGCTTGCGCTGCGCTCAGTGGATCTGCACTCGACAGTGCAGCCTAGGCGGAGTAGTCGAATGCAGATTCACTGAGCACTCAACACAGACAGCATCGTTAGAAGAAAAGTTGATAAAATAAATAAAAAAAATTTGTATTGTTCGATACATATGCGTACCGAACCGAAAGCACTGTATCGAACGGTTCAATACCGATACGAGTATTGTTGCACCCCTAGTATGTACGGACATGGTTTTTTTTTTTTATGAAGCCAGACATAAAGCCAAGAGAGCAGTGTGACTGGACCTTGTTTCTGAACTTTCGTCCCCCGGGCTAATTAGCTGCCAGGTTGGAGGAATGGCAAGCACGAGCAGTCTATTCATGAGTGTTAACAACTGTTGCCAGGGGCTACAGGCTACAGTTTGCAACGAAACCAACCATTTACAATGGCGTGGTGGGTTCAATGGCTACAGAGCAAGCCAAAAAGGCTTTAGAGAGCAAAATATCCTCTCTCTTAAGCTAAGGAGCGGTATCTAGGCTTTTATTCCAGACATTTCCAAATTCCGAAAAGGTGGGGGATCATTTGGTCCCATTCTGAAATTAACCCTCCTTCAGTTCTCACCTCAGAAAATACAAATTCAGAATGTTGACACAAAATGTGTTGTTTAGATCTATTCACATCGATAGATCTACAAGACACTCATTTCCACTGCTGGATAAATGCTAATTCTTTAGGTTTGCGTTCCAGGGCATAGCCTACAAATAACTCTGTTTCGCAACAGAAAGCTGGTCTCATTAATAGCTTGCTTGCGTTTAACTGGGCTGATTGTTTCGGTGATTCCCCCAGGGGCTGTCCTTGCTGCAGCTGGATGTGAGACGTCATCTCAGTCGTATGGCCAAAATTTCTCCCCGAATGTCTACTGGCTCTCGGTCACTGGAGGGACCCCAAACTGTTCACTGTTGGTGACCCTTTGAATACCGTTATTATGAGGAAAACTGACAATGGATGCTACATTAACAGGATGGGGGTATATTTCCGAGGGGTCCGCCGTAAATGACAGCTCGCTGAAAATTACCTGGAGCTGGCAGCAGTTTTTCCAACGCTGAAGTGTTTTTTGCCACTTCTGAAAAGTTGTTATGTCTTAGTTAAAACAGACATAACAGCAGTGGCGTATATAAACCGTCATGAGGAACTCGCTCTGTAACTTTGCACAGACTGACACACAGCCTGACTACGTGCAGCAGCAAACACCTCCTGTCATTACGCACGATGCACATTCCCAGTGTGTTGAACACCATGGCAGATCTGCTCTCCAGAGGGAATCAACTCTACCGGGAGTTTAGACCTAATTCAGAAATGGTGCAACAGCTGTGGGAGAGGTTCAGACAGATCTGTTCGCATCACGCAAAAATGCACAATGTCCTCTGTTCTTTTCGTTAAGAAACAAGGGCACGCCATTAAGCAAGGATGCACCCATCCTATTGCTGGCTTTGGCATCAGCAAAAACAATGAGTGATTTGCATGCTATGAATGACTTATCTATGTCCTGTTCCTGTCTGCAGTTTGTCCCCCATCCTTATAAATAATTATATAAGGTGGCTCTGCGCCCCTGCCTTCATGCCTAAGGTTAGGGAGTCTACCTATAGCTGCCCCAGGATCTATCAGCTTTTCCTCCGCCATTTGCTGCTGAGAGCC